AGACCGTCCGCTCTTGGAACCCCTGACAGCAGGGCATGTCCCCTCGCGCGGGGGCGGTCACGCCTGGTGGAGGAGAGCCTGCAGGGCGATCCTGCGGTGGCTGGGTGGGCATTCTCCTGGGGAGAGGGTTCCTAGGAGCGGTCCGTGTCCGTGCCCTGCGCTCCAACACTCGGACCCCTCCCCCCACCCCGGCCTCGCCCCAGCCCCTCGGAATCCGGAACCCATTCGCTGCACCTGGGAAAGTGTAGCAAAGTCATTCAGGACTTTCTGATGGTGGTGCTGGGGGGGATGCGAGTGGGGGTTAGAACTGCAGACAGGGCTCCAAATATTGATTCGAGTAGGTCTTGATGCTTATACCTGCCGGGCTGTTGGTAGGGTTCCTCTGAGAGGCTGCCGGACAATGGAAGCTTTAGATATGTGAGAGTTTTAATAGTAGCAGTGATCTGTCCCTAGGTTTTTCATTAAAAAATAAACACATCCTGAAACTTCTTTTTTTACACCACTTCGTTTTGTTGATTGGCAGGCGAAGTCTAGATTTCCCCCAGTATTATTGAGGCCCCAGTCACCCAGGTGTGTGTGTGTGTGTGTGTGTGTGTGTGTGTTTATCAAGTGACTTACTTCCAAAATTCAACCCTTTCCTTTAACCCAGCTAGTGCCTCCCGATTTAAGAGTCTGGATCTGTTTTGAATAATGCCTGCTGACCTATTTTAGTGTCCGTTAGGAGGAAGAATTTGTATTTCCTTCAGCTGAGATCAATCAGATGCCACATCCTAACCCAACCAGCAAATGTAAACAGCGGTCTGATGCTGCAGTGTTTCCTAGGGGGTGTGTGGGTGTGGGTATGGGTGCCCTGCCAATGACTTTGTGACCTTGGGCCTGTCACTTCCCTTAACTCAGATCTTGGTGGAAGAGTCAGTTTAAAATCCAAGCTTTATTTGTTTATTTGTTCTAAAGTTTATTTTCATGCTCGTGTACTGGAATCAGATATGGAAATCTGCTCAGGTAATTGGCCAAGTTTGTTTTTCCCCTTTGCTTGTCTGTGACCCCACATATGGGATATTTTAAGAGAAGGTACTAAAGTATGTGGCATTCTAGTCCTAGAGCTGTGAATGAACCCAAGTATTGATTTTTTGAAAAGTTTATCTCTTGCAGGTAACCTTTATTGTCTTGAATTAAATTCCTATCCTTGTGACGTGCAGAGAGCCACCAGGGAACAAATCTTTTGATTCATATAACAGTGACATAGGTTAATTAGTGCCTTGTGCCATAGATGAATTTGTGCCAAGGAGGGCAAGAACAGGATTCTCACCTGAGAGTGGCCAAAGAGCTCTGCTTGGAAACCTGGAACAATGTCAAGGCCACGTCATTCACCATGATTTATATTTCTCCGTCTACATGCCCTGTGGCCCTATGCAATCCAGTGCATGTGCACACACCCTACTTTACAAAAGGGTTAAGGACAGTTATCCACATTAAAAAAAAAAAATTGGCCTGGCCAGTGTGGCTCAGTAGTTGAGTGTGGATCCATGAAGCAGGAGGTCGGGGTTGATTCCCAGTCAGGGCACATTGCTGGGTTTGGGCCTCAATCCCCAGTAGGGGGCATGCAAGAGGCAGCTGATCAATGATTCTCTCTCATCATTGATGTTTCTATCTCTCTCCCTCTCCCTTCCTCTCTCTCTAAAATCAATAAAAACATTAAAAATAGTAAAAAATGATAGAATGATTTGTAACATTTCGTTTAAGGTGGAGCCAGTTGAGTTCATTTACATTTTTATTACTGAACTGCTTATCTGGTGTGAGGATAGAGGGAGGAGTCCCATGGCTAAGTCAGAGTGATGACAAGGTAGCTTTGAAATGGTAATGTAACCTTAACTAATAATAATAATAAAAAAATTAATGGTAATGTAAGAAAATGGGAAAAATATGATTCTCCTTACACATATCTGGTTGATCACCCTCCCCCCATCCCCTCTCCCCCAGGAGCACATTCCTTCTTACATAAAGGGAGGTATAGTTATGTTGGAAAAACTCATGTCATTTTAATGAGTAGCCTTACTTTTGTTTATGACGGACAGCTCATGCAAGAACATGTTAGTCTCTCCTGTAGCTTGCTCTTTGCTAAAAATTACTTCATGTTCAGGGCAGAGCAAGATAGCAAGTGCAGACTGTGAAACATTAAGGAGAAGAACACATCATGAACAGGGAGTTATTGCATCACCTCTTTGAGGGACCTGCCCTTATCTTTGAGAAGTCGTTCTCCAAACATTTCCCTGCTGAGTCCAGCTGGCTCGCTTGGGGATTGGGTCATTGTTATTTTGAAATTTTCTGTTAGCTGGTGGTATGACTTTAGTTTCAGAAAGGACATGCATCAGGAAGAGAGATGGCAGGTAAAAAAAAAAACCCCAACCAGAGTGCAAAGGTACTTCAGTTCTTTCTGTTGTGAACTTAGACATTAGTATCAAATATGCTATTGACTGAGCTGCAAACTTGTAGTGCTGAACCCAAGCACAATGAAATGCATTGCATTGATGTTGTCCCTGAAATGTCCCAGGATCATACAATTCAATAGCCTTACGTAAGCAACAACCACAACAACAAAAGTACAGAGAGAGATGGTAGGAAGGATGCTGAACTTGAGCCTGGAGAGTGCGGATTAAGCTTGACTTTGGCACTGTGTTGGTTGTGTTACCACGGCCATTTCATTTCACCTCTTTTTTGAGTTTCTGATTGAAAGCACTCTGTACTGTAATTATTATAGAGTAGTGGAATATTACCATGTTGAAGGTGAAATGGCTTTCTCTGAATATTTTTCTGTAAGAACACGGCGAATCCACTTTCAGAGGAAGCATTAGTACCCTCTAATAATGCTCCCGAACTGGAAATCTCCATTATAAGCCCTGTTTTTCTCCCTAAGTGATCCAGGGAAAGCAGGTCATTGTTTTTCCTTTCCCCGAGCTATCTGGACAACTGCCTTTTTTGGCTTTTGTCTGGTGGAATTGGTTAATAGGACACATTGGTATTTAGTAGTGTACTTGAGTAAATTTGATTCTGTATGTCCACTCTGTGGAGAAACGGATAGGCAGTAAAATGGCCAATGGCCAGAAGAAATCAGCCCCTAGGTCAGTCAGGCCCTAGATCATTCCGGTTAGATTTCCTTCACAGGAGATTTCTAATCGCAAGCGCAAACGTAAACCCATCCTTCAATGTGCAGAGCACTGCACTCTGCTAGGAATTTAGGGCAGGGTCAGGGCAACCAACAATGATGGTTATAAAATGAAGTCCAACTTTCTTGTTACCGAGAAGTTAATAGACTAGGTAGGAAGCTTAACCATCAGAGAACAGTTGCAAAGCCAATAGAATACACATTGAACCTCCACGTGGCCAGGAGATGTTGAATAATATAGTTCTGTCCTAGAGGAGTTCAGCTTTCAGTCTAGATGGGAACATGGGAGCCATTTAGTTTTAGTACATTTTTATTCCACTCAGTGGAGGAATTTGATTTTTCCCTCCTGAGGGCTATAGTGGGAGGATTTGTATTTTCCACTCAGTGAAGATTCCGTACATGTTCCTGCACTGACTCTAGACCCTGACCTATAGAGAAACATCTGGAATAAATAGTCCATTTTTAAGGGGTAACATTTACTATAAGGCAGAGGACTTTTGCTCTTTCTGTGTTTTTCTGACCCCCACCCACACCTCTCTGCCTCAGCCATCAGATTCTCTATACCTTTGTTTTTCTTTGAACATATTCTCTAACCAGGCAGAGAAATGAGCAAGCCTGCATTTGAGCTAATGATTTATAACAGGACAGTCATTCCCTCTTATATAATTATACATATAGATTGTTAGGCAAGTCTGTAGTGTAAACCAGAAAGTCCCTTAAAAGTTTGGATGGTTCCAAGTATCTACAATAGCCCATTTCCATGCAGACTAAGACTGTAGAAATTGTTGACAGTAACAGTTATTTCAGAAGTATTCTGCTCTTGGTAGCTGATTGAATCGATTGGTTTTTCTTTCTTTTTAAAATAAATGTATTTTTTATTGATTTCAGAGAGGAAGGGAGAGGGAGAGAGAGATAGAAACATCAATGATGAGAGAATCATTGATCGGCTGCCTCCTGCACACCCCCTACTGGGGATTGAGTCTGCAGCCTGGGCATGTGCCCTTGACTGGAATCGAACCTGGGACCTTTCGGTCTGCAGGCCGACCCTCTATCCAATGAGTCAAACCGGCTAGGGCTACTTGCAGTTTTCTACCAGAGGTATGTGACTGGCAACTACCTAATCATAACTTTGTGGGCAGTTGATTATCAGAATGTTTCTACCATGGTTCTTCTGGTAGTTATAAAACAAGAGTCTGAGGAGGAGGAGGAGGAGGCATTTAATGATTATTTATTCCATTTTATCAGTGTACCCAGGGAGTTAATATAATTCTCTTGGGTCCAATTATTTAGATTAGTTATCCTCATCCCCAATTAGATAATTTCATTCTCCTTTGGTGTAGCTGTACCGTCCAGCCTTAATTGATATCTAGAAATGCTTTGGTAGTATTGAAATGCTGCCACCGTGCTTAGTTAGCATTCGTCCAGGCTGAACAGTGGTGGGAATACTATACAGTTTTGTTGATATCATCAAGAAGTCCTCTTATCTTGTGCTGCTCAGCTCACTTAGGCCTCAGCTCCACCATCCTCCTTTCTTTTCTTAAACGTGCTGAACTCGCTTGTTTTCTCTCCGAAACCGTCTCTGCTGGAGAGCTGCTATTTATTGTCTCTTGTGTTCAGATGTTGGCCTTGGGAGAGCCTCCTGCCTCCTGCCTCCTGCGCATGGCTGTTCCCTCAGCCTTTAGACCAGGAGTGGGGAGCCTTTATTCTGCCAAGGGCTCTTTGGATATTTATAGCATCATTCTTGGGCCATAGAAAATTATCAACTTAATAATTAACCTGCTATATTTTGGGCAAACATTTAACTAACTCACCCCTAAGGCCTTGGCAGGGCCAGACCAAATGATTTCGGGAACCTTATATGACCCTTGGGCTCTATGTTCCCCACCCCTGCTCCAGACCAACAAACAAACTTTCAAAGGAATTTTTTAACCCTCAAAAATTGGTTGTTATTGAATGAATGAGTGTATTGGGGACAGCGGGGGAGAAAGATGATGCAAAATTAAGTCCTAAAATGTGTGGGGACACTGTGACGGATTTAGCAGTTGAGAGAACAAAATAAAACATTTGGGAGGCCTCCTTGGAAAAAGTTGGACTTACCTGACTTTGAAGAATAGGTAAGAATTGGAATAGCAGAAACAGAAACAAGGGCATTTTTAGTGCTGTATGAAATCAGGGGGACGGAGATGGGCCTGGTGCATTTCAAGGCGGCGAGAAGTCTGGCCTGCCTGGCTTCAGTAGTGCATATTGATTACAGGGAGTTTGGAAGGAGGTAAGAGTGGTCAGGATGAGGGTGAGGAGGACAGAGGCTTTTTTCATTTTATCATAGCAAATCCTGCTTTCATCATTGATCAGCTGCATGCCCTTGGGCATCTTGCTTAAACTGTTGGTACCTTAGTTTCCTCAACTGTAAAATGGGGGAGTAACTGGAACTGAGTCAAAATGAACTGAGTTAATGCATGTAAAGCACTTTGTATATTGTTAAGTACTCAAATGCAACCTGTTAATATCGGGAAAGACATTCACAGCCGGTGTAGAAGGAGAGAGTGAGCATATAGGGTGACATAAATTAAAGCTGATCTCTGGGATCAGTGCAGCGAGGAGGGTCTGGGGTGGTGGAGGTGTTGATGCCAGAGACCCCTGGAGGACAGCCAGCCAGGCTGAGGGTGGACTTTCTGTCAGGGAGGAAGGAGGAAGGGGAAGTAAAAATGAACCCAAACTGTTAAAGCCTGGGAGCTGGAAGGAGATGCTACTTACTACCTCTAAAGGGGAGGTAGGAAGAGGTAGGTGGTCAATATCCTCTCGGATGTACCTCCTTTCAAGTGATGGTGAACAACAAGAGGGTGGAAATACCCCACCCAGGCATCACGACTGGTCCTTCAGAATCAGGAAGTTCACTTGTTCCAATCCCCAGAATTGACCTTGAAACCACGTCAATGGTTCATGAAGGTGACCTGAGTAAATTACTCAGTTCTGTCAAGAGCCGCGTCTAGCTCAGTATAGACATGGCTTAAATTATAGCAGCTAAATGTCAATGTGTTACCTTAGGTCTGTACTTACACGGCCACCTTTCTTTCTTTCTTTTTTTTTTTTATAATATATTTTATTGATTTTTTACAGAGAGGAAGGGAGAGGGATAGAGAGTTAGAAACATGGATGAGAGAGAAACATAGATCAGATGCCTCCTGCACACCCCCCACTGGGGATGTGCCCGCAGCCAAGGTACATGCCCTTGACTGGAATCGAATCCGGGATCCTTCAGTCCATAGGCCAACGCTCTATCCACCGAGCCAAATGGGTTAGGGCAAAAATGGCTACCTTTCTTTATTAATTTTTACCTACCTAAGGTGTGACTACTCAGGAAAACTTCTAAGCAAGAGATTTTCTGTAAGCGCTTCTACATTCATTAACATAATTTTGTATTTCCAGGACACATTGACCTGAATGTGTTTTCTCCATTGAAGAAATGAATCTGTGTCTTTTGTTGGCTTCTTGAAAAATAAACATTGCTTTGGATGAACTGAAGAGCTGTTGTTCTACTTCTTTGGGCCAAACTGAGACTATGACATAGTTTTAGAACTATTGTGGGTCAGAGGAGCCCTAGCAAGCTGTCAGAATTAAAGAGGATTTTGTTTATTTTTCTGCAGTCATGTTCTGCAGTTCTCAGAGGGGCTCTTTTATAAAGCAAATAAAGATGAAAACATTCCTGCACATTTTTATTATTATTATTCTGTTTCTGATAATTTATGGCGAAAGAAGACATAAATCTTTAGTACTTTTTAGAAATTCTTTATGTATATAATTTTAGTTTTTGGTGTGTGTGTTTAAATGATCACCACTTAGTATGAAAGAAGAAATATGATTTAATGAAATATAATTTAACAGTTCATTTACTTGTGTGAATATTTCCAGTATATTACATCAACTTTATAAAGTGCATATAGAGTAGTGATGAAAAAAAGGCATTAATTAGACTGCCTTTTCAAAAGTGAAAATGTATGTGGTCTTTCTTTTACAAAGATAAGTATTTTTGGAGTGGGGCGGACAGGGATAAGAAGGGGTAGTGGGTAGAGTGATAACTTAAGAAGTGATGTCCATGTCCTAATCCTTCAGTGTGAATGCTCTCTTTTTTGGTAAAAGGACCTTTGAGATGTAATTAAGTTAAAGATTTTGAGATGAGACGGTCATCTTAGGTTATCTGGGTAGGCTCTATATCCAATGATACGTGTTCTTATGAGAAACTGAAGAGGAGAAGACAGAGAGAGGAGAAGGTGGTATGAGTATGAGTAGAGTAAAGTGGCCTAAGCCAGCGGTTGGCAAACTATGTCTCTCGAGCCACATGCGGCTCTTTGGCCCCTTGAGTATGGCTCTTCCACAAAATACCACGTGCGGGCGCGCATGTATAGTGCGATTGAAACTTCGTGGCCCATGCGCAGAAGTCGGTATTTTGTGGAAGAGCCACATTCAAGGGGCCAAAGAGCCGCATGTGGCTCGAGAGCCGCAGTTTGCCGACCACTGGCCTAAGCTGAAGAGTGTCAGTGTCGAGGAATGCCCACTGCCACAGATGCCAAGAGGCAGGGATGGCATCTTCCCAATGGTCCCGGGAGAGAGTGTGGACTTGAGACCCTGATTTTGTCCTTCTGGCCTCCCGAACTTCGAGAGCATAACCAGGGACCACCCAGTTTGCGGTGATCTGTTACAGCAACCATAGGAAACTAATACAGGAGGCTTTTCTGCGGTTGTCTGGGAATGGGACAAGATTAGAATATACGAAAATATTGTTAAAAACTCTACACCTGGAATGTAAATAATTATTGGTTGAAGTGCATACAGCACCATTCCATTCTGGTATGATTCATAAAGCACTTCAAGGTGGCTCAGAGTCTCATTTATTAGGAGACCAATTTTTTATAAAATATTTTGTAAAATCTGAAGAATACCTGAGAGGTCTTTTCCTCCTGATACCACCCAGCTCTCTGCTTCCCGGACACCAGCTGGGTGTCCTACAGTTGAAGTCAGGTCTGACCTAACTCCATGCTGTGTCCATCACCATAGGGTTAAGGGCTCGGTGCCAGCAGATGCCCAGTCACAAGTATTGTGTCCCCAGGTTACTTGCACTTTTTGGGGGGGATATCTACAGCCCCATCCTCAGATTTTCTAATTTGTTAGAAAGGCTCTCTGGACTCAGAAAGGTATTTTACTTTTCAGTTTAAATTTACTGGTTTATTGTAACCATTTACAATTACTTTTTGTCACTAGAACTGCATGTGATAAATACTTTTATGAAAGCAAACCTCCCCCTCTTCTACTTTTTAGGAAGATATTTAAAATTATGCTGATCCTTTACACCGTTGGAAAATAGTCATTAACTCTTTGACCCACAGAAAACAATGGTCTGTTTGTTTTGTGGTGCTTTTATTCCACAAGAAACATGGCTACCTTGTTTCACCTCTATTTCTCCTAAGGCCATTATGCTAATGCACCAAGGCTACCTTTAAAAAGTAGAGTCATTTTGGCAGGAAATGAAGTGGCACTGACAGGGATGATTGCTCTTGCCCTGGGGCCTGGAAGGAGGTGGCCACACCACTGTAAATATTTGTTTAATAAATGACAAATCATGGGAACCATACACACAATAGTTCTAACCAAAGTACTTTTTGCATAAATTAGAGACCTTCATCTAGTTAAGGATGATCAATATTTTGGTGAAGTGTGATTAAAATGTTGCAGTGAGGGAAATGATATGTATTCTTATATTTATAATAATTTTTTGATTTCATACTTTTGCTGCACAAAGATATTTCACATTTTATATTCTTAGATATTCTGAGAGTTTTGCTGGGGGTTTCCAACAATTGCAATTTTTCCCAACGATTACATTTTTTCTTTTTAACTGAGAAGTTGTGTGTGGGGATGGTGGTGGGGGTGGTGGTGGTTGTGGTGGGCGGGGGCGTTGGTCATGTTCTACCTGCCCTTTTAAACTTGAAATACCATGTTACCTTGCACATTTCCTTCCCTAAAAAAAAACAAACAAAAAACAGAGCACGTATTACAATTATGTGTATGCCCTTGAAGTAGTGTTTCTGACTTCTTTGCCCTTCTCTCCATTATTAAATAGATGGTGATGTAAATAAGGGGCATTTGAGAACAAAGAAATGATCTCTGACTTCCTTTGGGGAGGTAACTCCAGGCATCTGCCTTGGCCTGCTGGAAAGGGAGATGGTGAACCCAGCTGGGAAGAGGCCCCTGGGTGCCCAGAGCCGGTTCAATCTAGGTGAAGTGGATGGAGGGTTCCTGGTGGCTGATTAAAATAAGTGCTGATTAGACAACATGGTGCTGTTTTGAAACTAATTTCACACACATTATTGAGCCGTCTTCTCAGC